GGGGGGGGGGAGAGAGGTGATCGGGGTGACGACAAGGTGGCTCGAGGTGTTGTTCTCGAGGTGTCGGTCGCGGATTCGAGGCGGGAATCCGAGGTGAGAGAGAGAGAGAGAGAGAGAACGAGGGTGGATGAAAGGATAAGAGGAAAGTGCTCGACGAAGAGACATCACCGTCGAGTGTATCGATTCGGAGAGCGCGACTTTCAAGGCCGCGGCGTCCTCGTCGTCGGCTCCTCGATCCTCACCAGCATCGGAAAGGGAGCACGGAATTCTCTCATTTTCTCTCTCTCTCTCTCTCTCTCTCTCTCTTTCTCTGCTCAAGATCGAGAGACGTAGATCCGCGAGCCACGTTCTCGCGCGCGTCGCACGTCGATTCCTCGAAGTCGAACTAAAATTAAACCCGGCCCGGCGAGGCTCGCTGATTCTTTTCTCACGTCCGGCTTCTCTCTCGCGGATCGCGTCGTATAGTTTGAGAGAGTCGTTCGCGCTCTCGGAGAATCGGCTCGAACGAGGGATCGACGGTGCGCGCGACCTTCCGCCGAGACGGCGACTTCGCGGGCGCGTACCCTCGGGCCGGCGCGCACCGGCGAGCCTCGACGGCGGAGGCGTGATCATTACGACGGATCAACGCTCGATTCACCGGTGCTATTGCAGAGATCCGGTAGGGTGCGCGAAGAAGCGGCCGAGGCGTCGGAGGAGAAGGTGGCGGATAATGGAGCGACGTCCGGGGGTGGGCGCGTGCGGACGTTGCTGACGAGCGAGCACGAGCGCGACGAAGACGACGATCACGACGAGCAAGACGACGAGAACGAGGAAGTCGAGGCAGCGGAGGCGGCGGAGAGGAGGGCCGACGACGAGGGAAACGTGGAAACGAACGACGGCCGCGGCGGCCTCGAGAGATGCAGCAACAGCCACATTCCGGCCAGCAACCGTCCGGGGCGCCGAACGGGGTGGCGGGGGGCGCCCAAATGCCGCAAACAGGTGGCATGAGCCCGGCGCAACCTGGCGCGACCGGCACCGCCACCGCGTCCGCCAATCGGGCGCAGGTTAACGGCGGTAGATTCGACTTCGACGACGGCGGCACCTACTGCGGCGGCTGGGAGGACGGCAAGGCCCACGGACACGGCGTGTGCACCGGGCCCAAGGGTCAGGGCGCCTACTCCGGCAGCTGGCATTTCGGCTTCGAAGTCTCCGGCGTCTACACCTGGCCTAGGTGAGTCGTTCACATTTACCTTCGTTAACGCTCGTTAATGTGCCTGAGCTCTCTCAGGATCGGCGAGATGCTGAGATGATAAATCACGAGTGATTACGGTAAATCGTTGATCCAACGCGGCATACGTAACACGCTCGGCTGGTCGCAGGGAAGGAAGTAATCTTGCATTCTCTCTCTCTCTCTCTCTCTCATTCGTCGCACTCCCGAGGTTCGCACGGCGACCGCTCTTCCATCACCATTCTTTGCTTCGTGAAGAATTAACGCCTCGACTCGAGCGTACGGATAATTTTCAGGCTCGTTATCCAACGTCGCGTTACGTCGGCGGCGAACGCTCGGCGTTATCAACGCCCGCGCGTTACTCGAGCTCGACCGAAGCTATTTCGAAAAGTTGCCGCTCGATATCTGCAGAAAAAATGCATTTCCGGCGGGTGCCCAATTAGATCTCATTGACGGTTCATCGTCGCCTTTGCCTCCGTCAAATGGACGAAACTCGCGCGGCGTCGCGCCACGCGCGAGATGAGCGAATGGCGGACCTTGACACTATTCCGGCATGTACCTGAGAGGGAATGTCCCGATCCTGCGAAAGTGGGTCACCGAGCGCAAGGACAACGAGACCGGGTCACCGGGATTCGCGAGCCGCCAGGACCTAGTTCAGGGCCGTGCAGGATAATCGTTGCCGAAAATTCCGCGCCGGAAAGCTTGACATTTTTCTCGCCGAAGGTTCGATCGGTTTCCTTTTTCCTTGTTTAAATAGAATGAATCGAATATTGATAGAATATTAATGGAGCGTGTTTGAAATTCCGGTTTCGAGAAAACAGGTTCAAAAGGGATGCCAATTCGTTACAAATTGGGCTTTGTCCAAGTCTTTTGAATTCGTAGCGTCCCTCTTTCTTCTCGTTAACGACGACGCCACCGACGATGAGCATTCCGCACTGTTAAAACCAAACCGTGCGCGTTGGTATCCTTGAATTATCGATCGATACTTCGGTATATTTCGATACTACGATCGGCGCAACAGGGTGCTTATCTTTTCTCTACAAGGACCGCGCTCTGTGCGTCGCAACGTTCGTCATTCTTTCGGTAGCGGGATAATCGCTGAAACATCCCGCCTTCTTATTCTCGGGATTTCAATTCCGATAGGTCGTAACGAGGCATTGCGACAATTTGAAAAGAATTCTACGGTATGCGCGTGCACGTGACATGAAAACCCGAAGGAGGTCTAACGATCGTATCGGGTGTTTCTGAGTCACGCATGCAACGGAGACCTAATTGAGTAAAAGTAGTAAAGATGTAACAACATCGAGATAACACGCAACGATTTCGTTCGTGGTGTTTACGAAACGCACCATTCAAGCTACCTATTCTCGATGCATCACAATGTAGAACAAGATGATCGGAAAATGGGAAACGAGGTGTATGAGAGAAGAGAAATTGTCAATATATATATATATATATATTTCAAATAGAATATTTATTAAAATATCTCTCTCTACACGGAAAAAAATAATCTTGCTGTTGTAGTGAAGCCATTGTTGCTACAGCATATTGATTGCGATAAAATTTAATCGGCATAATCAAATTAACGAACTATTCGTAATTAGAGTATAAACAGGATTTGGTCGCCAGGATAGAAAATGTTCCGCTGAGTGAATTTAACCGTAGGACGCATTAATTTATTGTTAAAACAAAATATTGTTCTTCTACATTTACTATCTTATTCTTCTCTACAGCAAAATAATTTTTAGATTCAGCAGAATAATTCAGCGAATGGCGATTAATATTCACAACCAATCGTTTTGTTGTACATATTCTGAGAAAAGAAATACTTAAAATTTATTTATAGGATATCAGATTTATTTCTATGAAATAATTAGTGCATTGAAATTATACATGGAAAGAAATAGTTTGCTGGCATAGTAAATTTTACGCTGTCACGGCAAAATCTGTTAGTTACTACACTGAGAAAAAAGTATTTAAACATTTATTTGTTGGCAACATTATAAAATTTGCTACACCAGCAAATTATTTCTTTCCGTGTATAACTTCAATATAATAATATAGCTTTAACGTAACAATACACGTTTAATATTCAACATTGCTTTAATATTCAACGATCTCCCGCTTGTTCTACATTTATATACAAATTTCAAATACACGTTAGGAGAACCCACGCGATAACTTGTATAAAATAATAATAAACTCCACTTATTCGCATTGCTTGTTATATATATATACATATTCGAGTTTCTCACATTCACTCCATTTCACCCGTGAGAATCGTCAGGGCGAATGTGAAATTTCCGCCACGTATCGCATTGTACGAATGTGCGTTCGAGTCTTGCTCACCCTCGGTCGTCTTCGGGGACTGGGATCCGTCTGAAAGTAAGTCGGTTTCTCTCTGGCGCGGTTTCCGGCGCTGGGGGCGCGAAAGAGCGGCGTAAAAACGAGAGAATGGGGTGGGGATGAAACAGAAGATGAGACCTCTCTCTTCTTCTTCTTCTTCTTCTTATTCTCAAGCACGTATCTAGGCCGAGAGAATTCGTCGCTTCGTTTCCGTGTAAACTGGAGCAAGGTCTTCGACCACGTTTTCCTAGCAACATCCTCTGCGACGGCGGCTGCGCTCTAGATCGTAACAATACTCAAAGACGAACTTAAGAGTTCATAGATCGGATACGTGTTGTCGGTATCGCTGCGCTTCGGAGAATGTCCGCATCGCGTGCCTGGAATTTCGTGCCTCTCTCGTGTTCGTTTCCGCCTCGCGACAAGTAAAATCGCGCCGCAAAAGACATTTCACACCGCTCGTAGGGGAGGAAAGCTTCGGCGAGAGGAAAGCTTGGATATATAAGCACCGGATAAAATTTAAATTACAAAAGCCGGCCGATTTACGGGCGAGATTGTTTGATCAGCCGTTAATGTATCTCGTGAGACGTCTATTCCCCGCGAGATAAGACGCGCCTTTCTTTTATTCATTTTTTTTTTCTTTCAAAATTCACGCCACAGGAATACGTAATCCGCGTTATCGTACTAGCAGCTGTATTTATAATTAGAGAGCGTACAGCTTTTGGTAGGGACAACCTGTGCATCGCGTCGGGGTTTATAACGTTAGTTAACGCGAACTGCAACGGATCACGCGAGAAAGGTAGACATTTTTGTCACGCGATGAAACGCGACTGTTTCTTCGTCACCGAGAAGAAGGAAAGATTTGTCCGTTTCCGCTGAGAGAATTCTCGTATTCTTATATGCCGCTCTCTTTACTTAAAGAGAGTATTATAAATCTCAGTGTCGTGTTTTCAATGACTATTATTATTATATTACTGTAAAACGGGGTTTTCAATTTTTTCGCAGATTTTTCCGATTTTCTTCCGAGGAAAAATGCGAAAAATCGGTTTTTTCACTTTGCAACCCCCTTGATGATCGTCTGTAAAGAGATGCGAGTACGATTAACGATCCCCTTTCAAGAGATTCGCGCTTCGAGAGCTTTTCACGCTTTTCCCCCCGATACCGACGGAAGATTGTGTGTAATCGTTCGCAGAAAATAATTAAAACGTATTATTCTTGACGACGCATTCCTCGGGAGATTCTCCGCGAATAGAGCAGGTCTGACGCGAGTGAAGATCTAATCATCGTTCGCGGGCGAACGGGGGCTCGCTCGATTAGTTCCGCTCCTACGATAATTATAACTGTCGTAAAAATACTTTTTGAAAAAAGACGATCGTAGGCGTGCCCTTTTTTCCACGTCGGCGTGACGTGTCAAGATCACGTCGCCATTTCGATCTGCGCGTCCTGGCCACGAGGAGGAGGAGTGGAATGTCGTCATCGTCGTCAAGAGCGACACAACTTCGAATGATCGTCGACGCTAATTAGACGAGCCCCCCCCCCCCCTCCAGTTTTCTTATAAAGACGCGAGGGATCGTGTAAATAGTGGCGTGATTGTCAAGGATATTCGTGCGGTATCAGAACGCGCGGTTGTCGAAGGTTGTCGAACGAAAGACGCGGACACGGAATTGCCGTCGTAGTTATCGAGTACACTCGGCGAAGGTGACTCGTCTTCGGGAAGACGACTAACGAGACGCGAACTACTGTTTCAGCGGATCAGCTTACGAGGGACAATGGCAGAACGGCAAAAGACACGGTCTGGGCATGGAAACGCGCGGCCGGTGGCTCTATCGGGGAGAATGGACTCAGGGATTCAAGGGTCGTTACGGAGTTCGACAGTCGACCACCTCCACGGCGAGATACGAGGGCACGTGGTCCAGCGGCCTGCAGGACGGCTACGGGTCCGAGACTTACGCCGACAGCGGTGAGTGAGCGAACCGGAAAGGAATGGAAAAAGTTGGATGAATAAGATATAAGAAATACACCCTTCGCTGCGCGCGGCGGCGGTAGCGGCGAAGTTCGACGACCTATTTTCAGGGACACCTACGAAAGCTGGTAAAACAGCTGTCGTTGTGACGCGGATTATCGATTCGCGATGCACGCGGTTACCGAGGCATCGTAGGTACCAATTCGACAAGTCGACCCACGCGTTCTCGCAGTTCGTGCTCCCATCGATTTTTCCTTCAATCGTTAAAGCAGCGGGTGAGGGCAAAATGGCCGGCTTGATTATAATTTTAAGATATTATTTTATACACTGACCCGAGTCGAAATTTTCGCCCTGTGTTGAACATTTAATTTTGCAACGCAATAGGAGCTGAGACGAGAAAAGAATTCTAATTCTAATAATATAATTTATTTATCTCGATTCTTAAATCTCGCTGTTCTCTATAAAATACAAGAGAAAATCTAAGAAATAGCTGAGTGATTCCGAACAGTTCCATAGTAGATGCTGAGTAGCTTTTTAATTTGAGACTCCAGAGACACAAGACGATCATTGCGCTTGAGACTAAGACTTAAGGTAAAAATAGAAAACGTCATCTTGAACCGATAAGTCATCCAACCATTCTGCCCTAAGGCCGTAATTTCGCACGCGCGGACCAAGTAATTCGCTTCCGACGACGTGAAAACGACGTGAAAACGGCGCGTCGGAAAAATCCTCGGTCGGAACCTTCGAGGGGTCGGCCTATGAAGCGAGACATCGTCAGTAAATAAATCACCGAGTTCGTCTAATAAAATTCCACCGGTGGGAGCCGACTTGGAACGCGATAAATAAACAAAGCGAGAAACCGACGTGGCAGAGCGTCGATTTCGCATTATCTCGACGGAGATATTTAGTTGCGCCAAGATTAATGGCCGATGTGGCGCAATCGGGACGTCTATAAAAATTGACACGGTATTTAGAGAGAGAGAGAGAGAGAGAGAATGATTCTCTTCTTCTCTCCGAATTCCTCCGCTTTTAAATGGGGAAATAACGGTGTCACGTTAATGAGCGATTACCACCGTTTCGATTGATCTTTCGAGTATTTTCAGTTCTCGTTTAAATGAAAAAAGCGCGCGCATAAATCCTCATTAAGCGGGCTGCTTTTCCGAACGCGGGTAATTACTCCGTCACATCTGGCGAATTTCGTTATTACGATATACCGATCAATCTCGACGAGGTGTCCGATTCCGGCGGCTGCGGTTCGCCGGCTGTCGTAAATGAAGCACGAGAAAAGTTTGATCGCGACGGATGATGTCACCCGATCGATACCGCGTCACGAGGGGGCGTCTTCTCGAGAGCGTCGGAGAGATTGATGGTACCGTTGCGCGACGATTGCGACATTCCTGAAAATCGATGCGACCTTCGACAGCCTCCTCCCTCGTTTCGCGGTCCTTACGTCCTGTACACTCGCTTCTTTTCTTTTCTCCGGGGAGAGACATCTCTCTTTCTTTCTGTTGCGCGCGCGCTGTTATTGACGCTTATTCCAGGCTCCTTGGTACACGGGTGACGTTGCTCTTACAAGCTGCTACACAAAACTTGGATGTATTTATTTATATTTTGCACAGAAACTTGATTCCGAGAAACATCAATTTTTCATACCTATAAAAGCAGAGAATCCTCCTTAAACCCCACCGTGGAACTCACGGTCGAATCAAGCGGAATTTTATCTAATTTATCGCGGAATACGTTAAGCAGAGCTGGTAACTGTCGTCACTGCGGTTACGAATAAATGATACGTCGCTAGACGAGCCGTGTCACACAGTCTGACCGATGAGGAAAGAGGAGGACGATCGATCATCGCTGGTAAAACGTCATGAAGTATTCACGCGTTATCTAGCGCGAAAGATCGCGAAGTTATACGTCCGCGTGCAACGTATAGGTGGAACACCGGCCGCTGAATTAAGACGGGGTGTCCCTCGCATGGGATATTCGCCCTTTTTCTCGCGAGATGAGTTGTTTGCGACGCTTCGCGCGCGGAGGAATGTTAGGGTTATGACAGATGTTGAATCTCAACGGTCGCGAGGCAAGTTGCCGGGCAAACCAAATGGAAGATCTCCCTGTAACTTTGCGGCGAGTTTTGGCCTGTTTCGCTGTTGCAGCGACAGGATATTTCGAAACACTCCAAAGTGCGAGATTTTCGCGATTCCCTCGCGCGATTAAATCGCGAACTCTTCTCGGACGGTGGGGGAGGGGTGGAGGGGTAAGCGAATCGAACGCCAAACGGCGTCCCGCGATGCTTCCCGGTAATACGCGCCATTTGAATGATTAATATGCGAAATCTCGCGATCTTCCTCGTACTGCAACCGGAATTCAGAAACTGGAAGTGCTCTGACACGGCCACGTCACGTCGGACGCGCGCACGAGCGAGCGAGCGAGCGGTGTACATTATGCCCAACCGAAAATAGCGCGTCCGATCGCTCGACGGAAATCAGTCGACTCGATATTTATCGTGCGCCATAAATCGCCCGATCGTAAAAGAGAGAGAGAGAGAGAGAGAGAGGAGATTCGCGTGCTCCGATACGAAGCTCTAAATCAATTATTATCGAATTCTCCGGTGACATACGCTTCTTCCGTATCGCGGCTAATTTTATCCCCCTCTATTTTTTCCCTCATTGTATACGTAAAAATACAAAGCTACTCCGCGATAGAACACACGATATCCCCTATTATCCGCGATTGCTTCAATTTCCTGAAGATGAACCAGCCTAGGTAAGTGAAAAGGCGGGCAGCTGGGCCGTTTGAGGTCTAAATAAAGCGCTGAAGAGCATCGGGCAGAATGAAATGCAATAAAACTTATCCGCGCCGCCGACCACTCTCTCTCCCTCTCCCTCTTTCACTCTATCTCTCTGCCTTTTGCAACGGGGGTAAGTGAAGTGTTAGCGTTATTTTGACGCGAGAGATCGAGCCGGCAGTTTCCTATCGAAAATCGGCCGGATGTCGAGGCGTTTATCGCGAACGCTGTTTATATAACGCCGTCCGGTATGCGCGCCACGTTTCACCGCGTCCGGCGAGAACAAGCGCGACAGGAGCGACCGCGAGCTCATTAAATCATTTCCCCAGCCGCGCATCAGCCGGGGAGAAATGAGATTCCGCACTTTCGACTGACACAGGGAAGACCGGGGCTAGTTGGCTAATTCATTATTTCTATTGTTTCTAACACAGAAGTTATGGAATCGAGCGAGTAAGGATTTCGTAACCATCTTTGACAAGTTCGAAATCCCCTTGCTCGATTCTGTAATCTGTTGGAAAATAGCAGAAATAATCGATTAGTCAGCTTGATCCTTTTAGTCAACTTGCCCCAGTTTCTCTTGTCGCTACTAGAAATATCCTCATCGTCTTCTCTTATTAAGCGAGCTTACGTGAAATTCGGATCGGAATGAAAAGACGACTTCTCGAAATTCTCAAAATTGAAGCTTCGCTAGCCTCGCGCAAGCGGAAGAGGGGATGCACGTGTATGCGCGTGGAAAAGGGCGAGTCCACGCGAACGACGTCGTCGGCACCGTCGCGGACGCGCCCAACTTTTTCGCGGAAGGCCCGGTTGGTTCACCTCCTGATTTGAACCTCTCCGTTGCGGGTCAAGGTCGCCCACGGTCTTGCCACCTCCACTCGCTTCCACCGACGTTTCTCCACCGGTGCGGCGCCGCGCAGAAAAATAGATGACCTGGTCTTTTTAACTGAACTAAGCTGACCTAAGATCATTTTTTTCGTATGGGTACGAGATTCTCACGGTTCGGTGCGCGTAAATTTCTCGAACCGATGCAATCGGTCCAGCTGAAAAGGATAAAAAGTTTCTCACTTTTTTCCCTCCTTCTCTCTCTCTCTCTCTCTCTCTCTTTCTCTCTTTCTCTCTCCGTCTCTCACGACGCTCTGTTTTCTTTACTCTGCGCTCTGCTCGAAAATCCATTGCATTAACGCGCGCCTCTCCGCGCTCAATTAAACGTCCGTGCCGCGAATTTATTTCGCCCTATCGGGCTCTTTCCCTCCAGCCACCGCCGACGCTATAAATTTCTTCGTGTTGCCGGCAATCTTCCGCCGCGATGCTCACGATCTCTGTCCGAGGTAATTTGTTCATTCCCATTCCCGTGCCGTACTTGCGTAACGCGCGCATGCAACAGTAAGTGAATTTGCGAGTACTCCGCGTCACTTAAGCTCCGCGTAATGCGCGGTCTGATAGGAATGGAAGTGGTCGTGGGAGAAATTAACGAAGAGTCTTCATTTCGTCAAGATTCTCTCGGATGACTTTAGAATCGATTCGGACGATCGCGACGAGCTGCGTCTGCCGCTCGCTGGGAGCTTTCTAAATACCGCCACGTACTCTCAGCACGTGCGAATACTTTTTTGCTAACGTGCGAGAAACGTGCTGCAACGTCGGCTCGCAAACACAGCCGACGATCACCGCGTAAACATCAGCGATCTATATTTCGCGTATCTTTGACGTCGATATGACCGCGTATCGACAGTACGTCGTTTAAAATACCAGGCTCATACTCCGACGTTTGATCCGGACAGGTTGGCTTGCTTTTATATTTCCCATAAAGAAAAAAAAAACAACCTTGCGCCGTGTCGCGATATGTTACAGCTTGTTGATTCTGCGAATGGCAATATACCGCGGGATCCTGTCAAATTTGCATATTACACCGCAAATCTAGCCACTTGTCACTCAATTATCTCGTTTTGCAGGTGCATCGAATAAATTGCATAATCATTACGCATAACGATAATAACTTTCGATTCGTAATTATACGTCGAACGAAATTCTCGCTACACGGCTGTTGAATTTCAATGCGCTCTGTGATTAATTCGAAATTAACTCTATTACAAAATGCGCCGCTCTTTGCGAGCCCTCGTTCCGTTTAATCGGGAGAGGCACTCGGACGTAGAAAAAAAGGACGTTCGAATATTTGAAGGAGATTATTCGGATATTAAATTATCGAGCAACATAG